CCCCAAAACCCCAAAACCCCAAAACCCCAAAACCCCGGAGAGTCAATATTTGATTGAAACAAAAAAAGAGGATATCATTAAATAATCACACTAGATATATAACCCGTAAGCTTTAATAAAATAAAACCATGGATGATAACGTTCAAGATTTAAAGTCTACTAAGAGTAATTCTTCTCATGCAATCATGCAGATGAAGGCTGGAAAGAAGGTTGATCCCTTAGATTACCCAGACTGTTCAACGATGCCTGCTAAGACCCTTAGTGTTAAAAGAGAAACTTCTAGTGAAGGATCGTCAGGAGAGTATTATGAAGTTGAAAAGGTTATAGATGTTAGGAATTGTAATGGTGAGGAAAAATATCTTGTAAAATGGAAGGGATATCCCTCAGAAGCAAACACTTGGGAGCCTATTGCTAGCTTCGGTACCAATCTTCACCTTCTTAATGAATTTATTGAAAAATAGAAACAGAAAAATTAAATCTAAATTTAGGAGTGTTAAATTTGGAAGAAATGTTTCTTATTTAAAAAACAAGGATCTGAAGAAGAGCAGTAAAAATTCTGAAAATAATGCTTCCAAAGAAACCCCCAATCAGCAAAATATTGAAAAACCAACTCCTTCGAACAATCAAGAAATTTTAGAGTTAAGCGAAAATTCAAACAAATCCTCTTTAAAAGAGTCTGAAAAATCTGAAGAAAATAGCCCAATTTGAGTTGAAGAATATCTTGAAAATATAAAAAGAGTTAAACCTCAGAAGAATTCGCCTAAATCAAAGAATATAGAACCTAGCAAGCAGGAGCCCGATTGTAAAGAAAAAAATAACAACCCAAAACCTAGCTCTTGTAATAACAATAAAAAGGAGCAGAACTTACCCAAAACCCCTGAAAAGCTCGCCCCTTCAGCTTTAAAACCTACCCGAAAGTCAGTATTCAAAAGGGTGAAGAAAAGTTCTCCTCCAGCTGAAAACCCACCCACAAAATTACCCAAAAGTTTGATAAAACCTAATATTAAAAAACTCGAAAATCCAAAACCATTACGTAAACTGCACATGGATCGAAAATTGAACCCTCAAAACCCTAAGAAGCAGGATAAAGTCAAGCCTGACCCTGCAGGGGATAAGAAAAGGGTGCATAAAGAAGCATCGAAGCAGGAGGCTGCAGGAGGACAGACACCTAAGCAAGACTGTGAGAAGGAAGAGAGAGTCAGTGGTAGTTTAGATGAAGATATCCCCCAAGAGATTAAGAAAATGAAGATGATCAAGGGTTTGTTGTGTGGGCTCGTTCTATGGAAAAAGAGAACCAATGGAGTTCGTCCCAGAGACAGTTTCTGAATAGTAGAAGATCTGAAGAAGGACTATATTGAGATGGTGTGAGCCTTCTATGAGAGCAAGATCAAAGTGGGCGGACATTAGAAACTTAATTAAATTTCAAAGAATAGCAGAAGTGTTATATAGTTTTGAAGCATCTATATTTTCAATTTAAGTATAATTTTGAGGGGTTTTGGGGTTTTGGGGTTTTGGGGTTTTGGGG